GAGACACAAGAGATGTGGGTTTTATCCCTGGGTTGGGAAGATTCGCTGGAGAAGGAAATGGCAGCCCACTCCAGTATTTTTGTCTGGAAAATTCTGTTAGGTAGTTAGAATAGGAAAAATGAGTCCAAAATGGCGGTGGCTAAAAGACAGGACGGAAAGCCCGCGAAAATAGAGCAGAGGAAGGTCAAAGGAAGGTCCGAGGACCGGAGTAAGGACCTCAGGTAGAAGAGCGCGCCCGCCTGAGCCCAGTTTGCATAGGACAGGCCCAGGGGGAAGAAAAAACATATAAAAAGAGGAGCCAAAGGCTCTCACTCTTTTTCTCTCTCTCCCTCCCTCCCTCCTCCACCCTGCGCTGGCGCACTCCTCCACTCTCTTCTCTTCTTTGAGGATGGATTCTCCTGCTATCTTCTAAATAAAAGAGAGCTGTAACACTGATTTGTCTAGGAACTATAACATGGTCTGTCCAAGACCCAACAGCTGTGACGCGCTGAGGGCTTTAATGTCCGTCACTCCAAATCTTTGTTGCGATGAGACAAAGAACCGAGGAGCACACACTCGCCTGACAATTCCATAGACAGAGAAGCCTGGCCATGCTATAGTCTGGGGTGTCTCAAAGAGTCGGATGCAACTAAGTGAGCACACACACAGAAAAAGATAGGGAGTTAAAATGTCAATTAGGGAAGTGATTTTTGGAAAAAGTTAATACTTAAGATTAAGGATGGAGACAAACTGTGATGCTTTATTAAAACATGCACGTCTTCAGTCTCCCTTTTGGTGTTATTACTACATAAATGCATCTAGATATTTAAAGAAACTATAAAACTTAAGCTTTTGTCAAAATAAATACCAAGTATTTCAAGAGATACAAAGCACATTTTTTTTTTCTGTATTGATAACATTCACCTATTAACCAGAACAACAAAAACCTCTCTAAAGCTTAAGTATCCCTTTCAAATGTTTAAAAAACTTAACTCTTTAAGTTTAGTACCATTTACTTATTGTAAGCAGTAAGAAATGCAGCAAATGATAATGGAAATTCAAGTGCAAAAAGTATAGTGTTTTATTTCTTTAGATTTTATATTTTTGCTTTTATTTTTTCTTAGTCAATTTTAGAATATATCTAGCTAAGTAGTAGATACCTAGACTCCTTCTAAATATAAATTTTAAATATGATTTTATAGCTTCTTAAAAAAATGAGTTTTCCAATAAAGTTCTCGTAATGTATTATTTAGATGAGTAGAAATTATTTCATATTGTTTAAATTGAGCTATCCAATTTAACAGTAAAATAGAACATTTAAAATAACATTTTTAAAGAAAAACTGATTTTAATTTTATTTGTAAGAGCTTATTACTGCTTTTTCCCATTTAACATCTATTCTGTAGGACAAACGTTAAGATATTCTTTTCTGTTGTGAACAGATAAGAGATATATATTATGCTAGTTAAGGCACAGGCTGAGTTGCTGTTCACAAAGAACTCCAAATCCTCAGAGTGTCACACAGAACAAGTCATGTCCGACTGTTTGCAACTCCAGGGACTGCAGCCAGGCTTCCCTCTTCCTCACCATCTCCCACAGTTTGCCCAAGTTCATGTCCATCCAACCATCTTATTCTCTGTCACCCTCTTCTCCTTCTGCCTTCAGTCTTTCCCAGCATCAGGGTCTTTTCCAATGAGTTGGCTAATATTGATATTTATATTAGCTACATTTTAAGTCCTCCATAGGTACAGGTGTTTAATGGCTAGTATTTGGACAGTGCAGATACCATCGTCACAGAAAGTTCTGTTGGTCAGAGCTGCGTTAAGAGGTTGTTCTTAAAAAATTCCGTTTTTTGTATGTTAGTAGAGAGAAGGTATAAGTACATGCACTCTTCTCAGCATCTTGAGTCTGGAGTGTTGAAGTCTTCAGAGAGTCAAAGTCTTCACGGACTCTGATGGCTCACACTAGCCTGAGTTCTACCTATAGGAAGAGAGAGCGGGAGGGGTGGTGGGAGGCACGGCCAGTATGTGGTTACACGTGATCTGAAAGGTGTACATGTCACTTCTGCTTGTAGTGCATTGGCCAAAATATAATGATATGCTGATACCCAAGGGCAGCTGGACGGGTTACTAGCTGGATGGAGTGTACCCAGCCAAAACTTAGTTTAGCTGGGAGTGCTGTGGAGGGAGGGATCCTGTTACCAAACGAAAGAAGCTGAGAATAAATACTAGAGGACACTTGCCAATCTAGGTCACATGTACTTAATATGATGATCACAGTTAGTTTTCTTCATCTTTCTCAAAGTAGAATCAATGTGGGTAAAGTGTTTCATTTTAAATGACCATGCTGAGATTAACCTGAAATTATTACTTTTTAAAGTTTGAATTATGTTTTACAGTTCAATGGAATTAACCTTATAATCCTTTTGATTCAGGGCAATACTTTGAGCATGAAGCTGTTTTTCTCTAATGTATTATTTCTATATCTTAAACTTTGTGGCAAGATGATCTTTTGTTCCTGTGATTGCAAACAAAAGACTAGAACTTTAGTTTATTTCTGTCTTATTTAATAGATGTTCTATAATTTTGAACATGTTGATGCCACGCAGCAATGAGGAGTATGAGAAGTACTAGCTGGTGATTCAGTTTTTCCTTCTGTCTCCATGTTCCTTCTTGCTTTGTCTATGTGTATATTCATCATGCTTCTAAACTATTCAGGGATTATAATGAAAAGCAACAGGCTTTTTTCATACCACTTCCCATCCCTGGTCTTATTCTTTGCGACAAACACTATTAAATGTTCATGTTTATAAGTAACTTCTGTATTTTTAAAAAATATGCCTATATTCAGCATTGCTTGATTTATCAGAATTACATACTGATTAATTACTGTAATAAAAATAAACTTAGTTCATATACTACCTTCTCTCTCCCTTCATCACTATTCTTTTATTCTTCTATTAGCTTTACTGTTTCTTAAACTTCTTACATGTCTGCTTAAAGATGGTATCTCTTACTCTCAAATTAGCAATTACAAAATTTAATGTTTCTAATCTTCCCTCCTCATATCTTTCCCCTTTCTACTTCTCAGTTCTTGTCATCTTTTAAATTGCAATGATCAAATATATTTACATTCATTTCTGTAACTATAATTAAGTCTGCTAGCTTTGTCTATTGCTGAATTCTAAAAATTGTAATTAGTAAGCAGTTTAATTTTTATGACTACATAAATATTTTTCACTGAAAAGCTAATGGTAGAGCAATTACCATTTTTAACGTAGCTTTATTGTTTATAATTTAGTTTAAAATTTCCTCTTCCCATTCTGGTTTCTTATATTTTTAAAAAATTCTCTTAATCTCTTCCCACACATCAGCAACACCCTCTATCCTGTGGACGTTCTGGTTTAGCCAGCTGGCTCCCTTCTAGAGCCTTATTTTTCTGTCTTCTGATCTGTTTGGTCAGTCAGTGCACTTCTGACCACTTTACCTTTTTATACAGTTTGTTGAAAATTTGCTTTGGTTGGTGCTTTTTGTAACTGTGGGTTTATGTATGCCTCTTTGAAATTCCATTTTTTGTATATGAGTAGAGAAGATATAAATACATATGTTCTTCTCAACATCTTGTATCTGGAGTGTTGATGTCTTCAGAGTCAGATGCCCGTGTATCTAACCTTTACAGTCATATTGATAAAACATAGGATAAAGTCCTATGTTCTAAATTTTGGGAGGGGAGGGGAATTTGTGATGTTTACAGATAAAGCTGAAAGAAAAAATGATCTATATAAATTCATTGATACTTTTATATAAGTAGATATTTCTAGAATAATTTTGGCTTCATTTGTTTTCTAAGACCTAGAGTTTTCATAGATGATGATAAATTTTTTTTCTGTTGATATTGTTCTGTTTTACTTTTTATTCTGTTATTCAAGATTTGTATTTTCAGTTTGAGATCTTTTCATTACAGATAGTATTCCACAGCTTTATTGCCCAGAATTTCTTGAAATTGACCTATTTTATTATTATATCTGGCCAGTGACTTAACAGCACAGAGTGTTTTAAAAAAAATGATTCTTGGGTTAGGAGGCTAATGTTAGTGTTGAACTCTAATAGGTTTTGCCATCAGTCTGGGTGATAAGTTGTGCAATACTCTTAGGCTACTTTTTATCTTTACAAGAGAATGGTATTGTAAAAATGTCAAAAAAAATATCCACATGCCCAGTTCACCTGTAAATATACTGCTAAATTTGATCCTTTTTGGCAGTAGCTTATGTTACTCAAGGGACTGTATTTTTACAGAATGACATATTTCAAAGGGTATTGGTTTCCATTTGAGAAAATTCATGCATTTAGAGCAACTTAAAGCCAAAACAATTGTGCTTGTGCTATATGTTTAAAATATTAGTCATCTTGAATACATGCCCAGGTTAAATGTCAGAAGCTATATGTTGCACAACAAGAAAATTTATTGTTGGGAGACCAGGCAGTACCTGTGCTTAGACAGCACTTTCCTTAGAGGATCAATTTGAGTATGTGAACTAATATCCACCAGGTGTTTGTACAGTAACATTATTGATAATAAAGGAGAAGTTCATCGAGGAGAAAAACAAATAAAGGGAGCATAAAAGTCTCATACTGTATAAAACTACAGAAATGGATCAAAGAGTTTGACAGGAAGTTTAATGTGTACATAAGTAGAGTCTGACAGGAACATGCTGTGTGTGCCAAAGGTTCCAGTGATGGAAAACCGAAACGTAGTGCTCACTGACCACAGCATGAGCCTTGACACACGTTGTAAATAATCCGGAGATCTATGGCTGCATTAGGCACTGGGCTGGTGTCGAAACGGTAGTAAATCTATAGCAGCAGAATGGGATGGCATGCAGAAACTCCTCTGATTAATTTTTGTAATGGATTAATAGGAATATAGCAAATATTTTCAATTCCTGCCATCCTCCAACCTCTTCCTCCCCCCAGCCTCACCCTCCCCATTGCGATCTTTTTTTATTCCTTTCTACTCACCAGGCTTGTGTCTGTGGATCCTTGCTTTAGTACCATCAAGTTAAAAGCAGATGTTTCTGGTAGAGAGCATCTAATCACCGTCAAGTTGAAGGCGAAGGTATGTGCTTCGTTAGACTGTTACTCTGACCAGGAAATACCTTGTGAAGTGAATTCTGAAAATGTTTTCAACGTAAACAAGTGCTAGTTGCTTCTAAAAAATATATATATGACCCCTAAAGGAATTATTTTGGAATGCCTCTGATTTATTCATTAAGTTTCCGAAAGCCTAGATATAATTTCATGTCACTGTTTTAGTTCAGATTTGATCAAATAAGGCTTGGTCCATAATGTTATGTTTGTAACATCCTATGTAGAAAAGAGTTGGGAGTTTCTGCTATCCCAAGTTCTACTAAGGAGTCTTTTGTCTTCAACTTTTAATTTTTTATGAATTACCTTTGTTCTTATATTTGACTTACCACCATACCCCAAACACAGACCCATACGTATGGATACTTTTTATTTTCTTGGCTGAAATTTTTTTACTTCTAGTTTTAAAAATTTTGCAGAGGTTACCTCTATTGACACCTCTATTTATAGAGCTAGTGATCTGTAACTACTAATTTTATTGGCATAATGCATAGCTGTTTCATCATTTTTTAATTATACATTGTGAATTTTGAGAAATAAGTAGAACAAGCAAGTTCAGGATATTACTCATATACTTAGTAATCACTGGAGAAACATTAGAATTTGAGAAAACCAGGTCATCTAACTTTTTTTTATTGTTCTTACAAGTCATCAATCAACTCTCTTTCAGAAGATTATAGTGATGAAAAGATCAATTGTGTTTGTCCTTTTTAAAAATGTGTCTGGCATTTAAGCTTTTCATGAGAGAATTAATACATAAAGCTGTGCTGGGGTGACACAGAAAAGTTGATATCTTATAGTGCCTCTCTATCAGACAAACTGAGAAACAACTCGTTCTTTTTCTTACACACCAAATGTTTATAGTTTTAAGATTCTTATGTGATACGTTTTGAGAACATATTAGTGGGATATAAATATTAATTGTAAAATAAGTTATGTGAATATTTTTATTAAATGAAAGTAAAAACACTTATTTTCTTTTTTAATTAAAAAAAAAATTTTTTTTTAATCAAGGAGAAATCTGCCTTTATCCTTCCAAAGGTCACATACTGCCAGTGGCAAGGTTCTGTCAGTTTCTTCAGAGTTTTATTTGTTTATATTTTGTACATTGATAAAAGTTGCTGCTATGAAGACCAAAATGAAGAATTTAAAATACATCCTATCCTGATTCTATTTTTTCTGATAGCCTCAATTCTTGTAATCTTTCCTACTAACTGAGATAATGATTTAAATCTACATTGCTTGTAACTACATCTATAAGATTTTATTATTCTAATTAATTATATTTTTGATAGTATTCAGAGGGAGGATGTTTAGCCACTAGAATGGTCCATTCTCTCTGCTTTTTCTTAAAATTTTTCAAAGTAGATAAAGGTGGCCCTTTTAATATTTCTCTGGAGAATATTTTCAGGTGTGAATTTTTACAGCACCAATAATTATAAAGCACTATTATGGATGCCCTGGCAAGAAAGAAGAGAAGGCTTTGAGTTTTTAAGAAATTAGGAAGAAAAAAGAAATCTGCATTTTAAAAAAAAGGCAGAAACTAAATGAATCTTAGGTTGGTTGACTTATTAGTCTTAAATCGTCCATTTAGTTCAATTTTCATAGAGACCAAAGTTGTTTTTCAGGTGTGGTAATTTCTTTCTTAAGAATATTTGGGATTGTCAGTTAAAAACAGTGAAAGCTACAACTTACATGTTAAAGGGTCTTTAATACAATGCAAAATCTGAATCCGAACTGAATTTTATAGGGTCCGGCTTTTTTTTTTTTGACAAACCTTGCAACATGATTACTTTTGTAAATACACAAATCTGTTTCTTTTATCTGATACTATTTGATATCTAGTAATGTGTTTGTTTTTTTCTTGAATACAACTCTACCAGTTCTGCCCCTCGGCCTCACTGTCTCCAAAAACCCACAAAGAAAATAATATGAATTCTGTCCAGACTTCCTCTATTAAAAGTGAACGTATAATCAAAAAGAAATACCATAAGGAAATCAGTTGAATTTTGGCATTTTTATAAGTATTTTTAATGCAGTATTTACAGTTCATCCTAAACTATAAGATGAAATTTTTGTCTTTTCTTTAAAAAAGAGGTAGCCCAGAGTTTCCTTAGCTTTGGCTAAGATCAGAACCACTTGAAAAACAAATCATAGATGTTTCTGAGACTGGGCACTCTGATGACTATTTTTGTAATCTGCTGCAATTTGTATGTTTTATTCTGCCAGGGAGTCTAGTCATGAATTGAGTTGGGCTAAATTTTTCCTTAGGAATGTATGCTATAGAGTCTAATAAATATTGTTTTTTATGAAAGTATATATCAATATTAAATAATTATATTCTCTTACAGTTATTAATTTGAATTGTTTCAAGTGAGACTTGAAAAACTATATTAATTACTGTACCTATTTTTAAGTTTATTTCTTTATGTGGAGCTTTAGTTATTAAACTAGATTTCTAAAGTAAAACTTTGACAATCTCTAGTGGCTTGAAAAATACTGAATTTGATAGTCATTTTACAGTATCATACTTAGTTATATATATTGTAGTTAGTATTACTCAATGGACATGAGTTTGAGTAAGCTCTGGGAGATGGTGAAGGACAGGGAATCTTGGCGTGTTATAGTCCATGGGGTCGCAAAGAGTCAGACAGGACTGAGTGACTGATAACAACAATACACACAACTCCAAAAATGAGTATCTAGGGATGCTTACTGATGAGTCATGATAAATCATCCAGAATTATATACATTTGTGCCTTTTAGGTTTGATACAGTTATGTAATATTTATTATATAAACAGAATTGATCTTGAATGTGAATATAATACTATATTTATACATTGACTCAGTAAAGGCAACTATTTATAGATCAGTCTAATTTATTGTATACATATTTGTATGTTTGCATAAAAGTACCTAAATATATATCTGAATGTTATCTCAGATATGTGGAATCGTATTTATTTTAACCTGCTTTTTGTTCAACTCCTTGTGGCTCTCTTTTTTTGTTTAACTCCTTGTGGCTCTCTATCAGTACTAACGTGCCATTTAGTACCCTGAGCCCTGTTTGAATGTAGGATCATAATTCTCTTTTATCATAATGTGCCATATATACTTAATGATTTCCAAAGTTAACAGGTACTTTACTGGGTTTATCTATTCTGTATACAGTAAACATTAAGTTCTTAACCTTGATTGATGATTGTTTAGAGAGTTGATATTGTTCATTGTCAGCCACATAGACAAATAGCAGCAACTCAAGGTAAACTAAATGTTCCATTTTTGACACAAGGAGGTTTTAAGTTTGCATTTAAAATTTTTTTTTGCAGAAAATTCACATTTTAGAGGGAAAAGAGATTTTACAATGCTTTTGGTTGTGTTCTATCATTTTTACATATAAAACAGCCAGAGAAGTTAAATGACTTGTCCAAGGTCAGGAGTTAATTAGCAGAATCATAAACCAAAGAAAGCTAAGATCTCTGCCTGCATTTACTTTGAGATAATCACATGACTTGTAAAAACTGCATGCAAATTGTTTTTCTAGTGATTGCAGCAGTTATAATCGGAAGAACATCATCTAATAGTTTGAATTGTCTGAAGTAGGGCTTCTTCTGTAATCTCAGCCAGATCTTCCTTTCTTCCCCCCCAAATTAGAGCATAGTTATATGTTTATATAGTTTCCTTGTATTTACCCTTGTGATATCAGTTCTGCATAGCCAGATTCCATTAGTCAGAGTATACAATGACAGGTTTATTTTTAGCCAGCCTGTCATAATTAAATGTTGATTCTTTTTGAAGCATTGATTTCAAATGGACTGATGTTTGTAACAAATAACTGTTGTGGTAATTTTTGTGCCCTTTTGCTTTGCAGAGAAGTAGTTAAAAATAAAAGGTTGAAAAAAGTGAAAGTCTAAACCTTAGGTTATTTTGTCAAATGAGAGAAAGGAGTTTTCCTAAAACGAGTTTTCTTTTTAGTAAATTTAGCTTTTTAAAGAAAAGAAGTGAGCATTTTAAAAATTACATGTGACTTTTAAGAATCCAAACTGAATCTTAGAGAAATCATGTAATAGAATTCTCTAGTAACAAAATTGATTTTAAGGAAGCTATCTTTTGTCTTTGTCAACTTAGAATTGTGGTTAGTCCTTTGGCTATCACTTCTTGTATAGAACTATTGAAGGATTAATTTTCTGTTTATCAGCTATGAAAAAATTTTTCTTAAACCTAATATTTTGTTTTTCCTTAATTAACCAGAAGGCATTTCATTGTTTCTTTTTATTTGTCTTCTTGCTAAAATTAAATGCTTTGTTTTGGAAAATACTTTAATTGATAACTATATGTGTTCATTTTGTGCATTTCTTGATTCTTTTAACAAGTATTGCCTCTATAAATAGTGACTGAGGCTGTTTGAGGTTAAATTTTAGACTGAAAGGAAATGAAATATCAACCATTTTGATTTGTCATTTTAAAGATAAAGAAACAGATTCAGTGTGGTTTGCCCCTCAAATCACATTAGCAGCTGCCCAGAAACTAACTTAGTTCATTACTCTGTATTCAAAACTGATTGGTTTGGCATCCCCAAGTCACTACACTTTGTACCTCTTGAGCTTGTTGACTGTTTATCAGCTCTTAACACCTTTATAATAGTAGAACCAAAAAATATATTATACCTTTGCATTTATAGAAATACTTTCCCTAATATATTCAGTTTTTCTAAAATATTTTTATGTGAAATTGTCACAGTGAAACAAAAATGACCCTAATTTTAGGCTTTTTTATAGTACCCTGCAGAATCACCAGATTGTGTTGTGGATTTTCCTGTTCCATTTTCTGTTTCCTGGACACCACAGGTAAATTCTTAAATTTATTTTAAGTAGCTAAAAAGCATTTTAAGTGGCCATTATAAAGTGGTTTTTCAGCTTTCTTTAAACATTTATTTATAAACAGGATTTTGAGAGTGTTGCTTTCCTATTTCCTAGCAGTTGATGTCCATTCTCCCTGCCCTCTGACTCTCCCCACCTACTTCCCCATCCTCCAAACACACACACACAGACACCCCATTCAGCTTTTAGATCTTTATGCTTCATGTTAAATAAACATGAAAAAGCTCTGTTGACAGAAATTATCCTTTAATTTTAAATCCTAAGGAGCTCTTTTATAAAGCAGTGAGCAGTAGGTTAAAAATCAGGTGGAATTTTTAAGACATAATATCAGAGAATGTTTTTCAGAGGAGAATGAGTTATGAATGAAAATATAAATCCTGCCATTTCTCTTCAGTTTTTATTGTTCTCAAGTGTTTGTCCTTAGTTTGTCCTTGAACTTATACTATATTCTTTTTGCATATGCTTTGGAATATTCTTACTTTGATTCTTTCTCCTCCTCCTGTCAGTTTAATTTCTCAATACATTGGTGATATCTAACAAGTTAATGTATTTAGGAGTGCACTGTAAATTGTACCATTATGTAGATAAAATGTGGTATGATTATCAATAGTTCTGTCATCAACATTGACATGTGTGACTTTTAAAGATCTGGCAGGATGGTGGTTAGATTCAAAGAAAAATCTAATGACAGGTAATCTAATGTCTCACCAAGTAAATCGATACCAAATGAAGAGAATCTTTCTATTCTTATACAAAATGAAAAAAATTCCTAGTGGCATTTAACAAATAACTCTCTGAGTAGAGGCTACTCTTATTTTTGTTCTGAAATTTTGGTAGGTTCAAGTGAAAATTTATGCTTACATTTAAATTCTAATATATAAAGTAATCGTCTTGTTAGTTTAAAAAAAAAAGCCTAACAGCATTTACATTGTCGTACGAGGTTTCAAATATTAAATTATACCATCTACATTTAAAATATATTTTTGTCATTTTCTTCTTTAAAAACAAAACAGTCTCCCTCCTTCTAATGGAAATCAAGAAAACACAGCAAAATATAGATGAGGAAAAACACTATGATTTGCTTTTGGTATTGTGATATGTGTTATAAATACATAAGAAATACTGTGTGTGTTTTTTTAAAGAATTGGAGTTGTACATAAATTGCATAGTTTTTGAATAATATGACTACATTTTCAGTTTGCCTCTATAAATTTTATGTATTATATGAGATCATGAGATAACATTGTACCTAGATTGTATTACCCTTTCCATATGTTATCTGTAGATTATAATATAATGTTATCAAAGTCCCAAGGTTGAAGAATATATTTTTGATGAATTTCCTAGTTTTTTTTTTTTAACATGTTTAATCATGCAAATTTTCCTCAGGCTTTAATCTGTGAAGAAGTTCGCATCTCCACAAAAGGACTGTTTAGCAGTTACCTTCCTGCCATTTAACAAAATTAGTTTGTGACTCTAACACTACAAAATCTTAAGAGCAATTTCTTCTAAATTTTGTGTCCCTACTTAACACCAGCTAAGTGCCTTGCACAAATAAGCATGGAATAAGTGTTTATAATATTAATTCAAATCCAGATTTAGATTTAATTGTGTTGTATGTCATATTTTCTATTTTGTATTAGTTCTAAGAAAACAATTAATTAATAGTAACTGAAATTGCATTTTTTTAATTAAAAGAAGATATTAGAATTCTTAGTATAGTACAGATAAAAATTTAGACATCATTTTAACCACAACTCAAATTTGACATGTTTAATATTTGTCACATTTGTTTCAGATATCTTTTTGTCTCTCTTTTAGGAATAAAATGTTCTGGGACTTAAAATTTTACTCCTCTTTTTCTTCTCTCCTTTCCTTTCTTTCCTTCTTTCCCTTTCTAGAGGAATATCTTTTGCCTGGAATTGATGTGTATGCTATCCATGCATACTCTTTTGCTACATTTGTTTATGCCATATTCTATAGTGTTTTCAGTCTTTTTTAAACAGCATTGTTTCTGAGATTTACCCATGATCTATGCCTATAGTACATTTTAAATGCTTTATATCATTTCATTATATGAATCCACCAGTTAGTTTATTCAGTGTCCTAATGATATGGTTGTTCACAATTTCTTGCACAATTTCTTACTAAACAGTGCTGCTGTAAACACCTTTCTGTGTTTCCTTTTGTACATGTGAGACTTTTAGTATGGTTTATGCTTTGAAGTGAAAATGCTGGATTGTAAGTAGTGTACCTCTTTGAGATTACCAAACATTGCCAAATTATCTTTCCAAATTGGTTGTATAGCTTTATACTCCTACCCAGCAATGCATAGTAATTTCTACTTTCCCACATCCTTTCTAAGTCAGTCTGGTTTTACTCTGATCTTAATTGCTGTTAAGAACTGATACTCTTTATTGTCATGTTTATAATCTTTGCCTACTTAAATTTTTGTCTTTTATTATAAGCATTTCTTACATACTTTGGATACTAATTATGTATTGGTTATATGGGATATAAGTGTCTTATCCCAGTGGCATGCTTTTTAACTTTGATATATTTTGTCAATCAGAAGTTTGATATTCAGTGTGGTCATGTTTATCAGTCTCTTCATTGTGATTTCTGCTTTATGTGTCTTGAATGAGAAAATTTTTTGTATCTTGTTTTAAAAAGATATTCATTGAAGGTTTATTGTAAAAGTTATACTTTTTTCACATTTAAATATGAGTTAGGAATTATATTTACACTTGCCTTTTTTTATATATGCTTATAGAATTTGGATGCATCTTCATTTGTGGAGATCTGGGGTGATTTTATTTTTCTTTTCCATATACTACTAAAATTGTCCATTGTTAGAGAGTTTAGCTATACATTGTTAAGCATTTTGCTGCTATTTCCAGATGAACTCTTGAGTGTTTTCGACATGATAAAAGTGTTGGCAATGTTAGTTTTATGTTTTGAAAGTGTGAAGCAACATCAAGTCTTTGCTGTGTGTGGCCTTTTTTCATTGGCCTATTGGAAACAATTCTGCTAGTGGCAGTTACTATCTTTTTACTTTTTTAAAACAATTTTTAAACAGTTGTGGTTCATAAAGAATTGTAGTATTGTAGTCTAACAGCAAACTTACATTTAAAAGATTGTAAACAGGTGCTAGATAATTGATTTTTAAAAATTCCCTGTCTCTTTTTTGTACATTTCCTATTTGGATTCAGTGTTTCTGGACTTTAAACTTAGAAGATCTTTATTTTCCTTTCTTTCTGTAAAATAATAGGCATGACTTTGTGGCATCCATATTAAAAATGGGTAATTTTCCTTATGGTCCCTGTCTTCCTGCTGGGTTGATAATGTTTTGATGTATTTTTCTTTTGCTCTGATGAGAGGTCTGCTGCTGCTGCTCTGACATATTCATTTGGATGAATAATTATAACTTGCACAATGTCAAGCTGAAGATGGTAGGGTTTTGTGCGTCATGACAAGCCTAGTAGCCAGTGCAGGTGTCTCACAGCATGATCAGCAGCAGCCAGTGTATTCTGGCTCCGAGGAGGCATTTAGAGTGGTAAGAAATGAGCACCAAGGGCAAGGCTGCTGCTTCTACTGCTGCCGTGCTATGTGCCAGAGAAACAGAGTGCTTCTCAAAGACGAGTGACTGCACACCTCTTTTCACATATTTACTTTGTTTACCCAGTCAGTTTTCTTTTCTAGATTTCAGCGTAGGAATGTAAGAGCATGTCATGATTTTTATCTTATTCTACTTCCCAACATCACAAACGCTCTAAAATGTATCTAATCTGCTGCCCTTTGGACTTGTATGTCTAGATCATATATGTGAATAATGTTGACTGTTGAGACCATAGGATGCTCTAATGTAAGATTTTAAGTGCAGTGACATTAGTGATTCTGTAAAAACAAAATTACCTTTCTCCAGGTCGCTGATCAACCCAAAATAGATGCTGAAGTTGTACCTTTACCTGTAAATATGCCATTAAGTGTAGGCTTCAGTGAACTAGCCTCGTCATGCTGACTGGAATTTTCAGAGATTGGATATGATATAGTAAACAGTGGTCATTATATTTTTTTTATCATGTAAATCTCATATTCTTGGGAGTAATGCCATGAATATAAGAAGAGAAAAACTAATGATAAAGCCTGTGGCTGATAATCTGATGGTGAATGAAGAAATTGTAAATAAAGGAAAACAATCCTATTACATAGCAGGGAGCATGATCCATTAGTTAGAGCAACAGACTAGCAGTTGGGTATCCTTGGTTCTGTTTGCAGTTCAGCCTTGACTTAATTGTATAATCTCAAACAAATCACAGGCTGTTCTTTGCCTCAGTTCGTATGTATATGGAAATAGTGAACTTTTTCTCTTTCTAAGAGATCTTAAGAAAATAAATTTGGTTTAAAACAAATAGAATGGTAGATGGAGAAAACGCTCAGTATCATACTGTATGGATCCTAAGGATATTCTGCTTTTTTGATCTACTGGATTATCTTTCTTTCCATTTTTTCTCTGCTATCCTTGTTGGAGAACTCAGAACTGGATTTTTATTCAGTCTTTATTGGTTAATTAAATATACTTTTGGTTTCTTGGCCACCTTATTGTTGCTACATCTTATTGTTGTATGGATAAAAAGACATCAAAGGAATCAAAACAAAGAAACTTAGTTCATTATTGAGATTATGTGATATGATTGACTTGTGTGATATGGTATCGTATTGAACTCAGTAACTTACTAACTGCTTCTCTTTCTTTTTTTAAAATAACATGCATTTTAAAAGTACCCCTATATTGATTCTTAAAAAAGAGAGAGAAAATACAAGCAAGCAAAATTTTAAAAATGTGAAATCACCTTTAATGCCTTCATTTATAGAGTTGGGATGTCACTGGTTAATCTGAACCTGTGCTTATCATTTAACAAAATATTTCATTTTTTTGAAATATTATTGATAATGCTGTGTATTTA